TGAACAACTTAATGAGAAAATTTGCTTTTCGAAATTCTGAGCCTGCACAGACAAATAAATGGGAAATGGAATGGAGGGTAAAGAACTTTGAACTCTGAAGGGACACTCCTGGGCAGGAAATCTCACGGTCCACAATTCTGAATCTATATCTGAAGGCAATCTCATTGGAAGACTAAGTATAAAGTTTCAGATTTTTTAAACGTCTAGACTTGAGTCACAGCTTATTTGCTTTAAAAACTAGTTTTGCCATTCTTATCCCAAAATAATTAATAAGTACTCTGATCAAACACAGAATCATTTCTGCTTTTTAAAGGTAGTTCAATAACCCAACAATGCTTGTTAATCAGTTATTTAAATTCCCAAACATAATATTCCACTACTCCTACTTTCTGTAGATTATCATTCCTTCCCTTATTTATTTTATAGTCCTCAAATGTTAACCAACATATTTACAACATCTGGATTTAAAATGTTATCCAGACTCAAAAGAGGAGCATATTAATACATATTTTAAAAAAAAGATTCTTAAAGCATTAAGAATCTCCCAATCCACAGGCTTTAACTTCAGCTGAACCTACAGTGGCAGGTGGGGAAAGCAGAAAGTGCACCGGCCCTGGGTTCTAATCCTATCTCTCTGGGTTCTAATCCTATCTCTGTTACTAATCAGCTTTGTAGCCTTAGGAAATTCACTTACCCTCTCTGGTTCTCCTGGCCACATCTGTAAAATAAGGATGTGAGAGCACTAATTTAAGGCTTCTAACCTGTTGCTGTCAAATTGATTCTAAATCATAGTGACCCTATAAGACAGAGTAGAACTGCCCATAGGGTTTCCAAGAATGTAATCTTTTTTTTTTTTTAATTGTACTTTAGATGAAGGTTTACAGAATAAACGAGCTTCTCATTAAACAATTAGTACATATATTGTTTTGTGACATTGGTTACCAACCCCAGGACATGTCAACACTCTCCTTTCTCTACCTTGGGTTCCCTATTATCAGCATTCCTGTTCCCTCCTGCCTTCTAGTCCTTGCCCTGGGCTGGCTACTCCCCTTTAGCCTCATTATATCTTATGGGCCTATCTAACCTCTGGCTGAAGGATGACCCTCAGGAGTGACTTCACTCCTGAACTAAAAGGGTGTCTGGGAGCCATACTCTTGGGGTTTCTCCAGTCTCTGTCAGGCCAGTAAGTCTGGGTTTTTTGTGAGTTAGAATTTTGTTCTACATTTTTCTCCAGCTCTGTCCAGGACCTCTATTGTGATCGCCGTCAGAGCAGTCAGTGGTGGTAGCCTCCAAGGCCATAATCTTTATGGAAACAGACCGCCACATCTTTCTCCTGCGGAATGGCTGGCTGGTGGGTTCAAACCACTGATCTTTACAGTTAGCAGCCAAGCACTTAACTGGTGTGCCACCAGAGCACCTCAATTAAGGTTTCTACCAACCCTTAAAAATGATTCTAGGTTCAGATTTCTACAATCTTCCCAAATATCTTCTTTTCCCTAATTATTAGCAGTAATGACCTTTCCCTTATAAAAGTGTAGACAGATTTTTATAATACTATCCATTTCAAGAAGTCCCTGAGTGGTGCAGTTAACTCACTTGGCTGCTAACCAAAAAGTTAGAAGTTTGAGTCTACCCAAAGGTGCCTTGGAAGAAAGACCTGGTGATCTACTTCCGACAAATCACTGAAAACCAGCCATTAAAATTCTCTGGAGCACAGCTCCACTCTGACACATGAGGTCTCCAAAAGCTGGGGTCAACTCAGCAACTAGTTATCCATTTCAAAATTATACAACTTCTGTAAAATTTACTTTATAATATTTTGGCAAATCCTATTAAATATTTCTTAATAACTAACTACACTATAATCCACCTAAGAGTCCCAGTTGAAAAGAAGGATTACCCAACATACATTACACATATAGGGCACATGACCTCTTATGCAATAACTGTCAGAATGTTTAGCAATAATGACTAGGAATAGTTCTTTTTTAAAATGTCCAAAAGAAAACACTATGTATATCAATTGCCTCTATATAAAATATTAGAAAAGATGAGGTGTTGTTTCAGTTTTAAAACCGTAACACTATACATTTTCTTAAGACTGAACCTCTTTGTAATGAAGCTGCCTAATCTTTCAGAATTGGACCAAACTCTGCATATAAGTGTTTCAGCTTCACAAACATTTTGAGTAAGGTAAATGACATCTACTAAATCTTTCTTAACTTTTAAGGAAGAAGATCTAGCAACATTTTAATTTGATTTTTACAAAAAGACAAATGGCTTCACCTGAAGCTTTTCATGCCTGGGAAGTTACTTGCTGAAATTTGAATAAATGGCCAACTCTAGAAAATGACACAGTGCTCAACACATCTGCATTTCCCCCAGTCTACAAATCAAACACTTTATACAGACACAAAGAAGAGTTGCTTTGTTTTTTAAGATAAGGCTAAATTTACTGTTTAGGACACATTGTTTCTATCTGAAAGTCTATAAAATGATCTTTAATCACTAACCTTTTCTCCACTTTCAATATATTCTAAAAGAATCACAGATTAGGTTAGAGTCTGAAGTTGAAAAAAAAAGAAGTATGAAGTTTACTGAGGCCTCCTTTTTTTCCAACATCTTAAAGGTCCCAGCCAGTTACAGTCCAGATTTTTTTAACAGAACCCAGCAAACCATTACAATTCAAACAGAACAGTTTAATGTTAAGATAATATTGAAACTACTGGCTCACTTTGAGTTCAACAGCTTTCCAGAGGTTTTTTTGTTTTTTGGTGTTTTTTATTTTAGTAAAAATAATCTTAACGTAAAAAAGAGGGGGGGAGAGTTGGTGGAAGACATGATGTGATTACCTGTCATAATACATAAATCCTCTATTGTAACCCACATTTGGATAGTATACAGATTCAAAGAAGGAATAACCCCAGCTGAGACCCTTCTCAATAAATTTCAAAACACTGTTTCTGCATTACAAATAACAACAGTCTCCATTCACCTAACCCATTCTATGGGCAGGCATGGTGCTAGAACTTGTATCTGTCATTCCATTTAATCACCGGAGCAACTCTGTGAGGAACATATTATCATCCCCATTTAACAGACAAGAGACGGAAGATTCAAAACATACATGATTGCTAAGTGGCAGAGCCAGATTTCAAACCCAGAGATGCTGAACTTCAAAGTTCATGCTCATTGTATTTCGCCACACTATCTACTAAAAACATAGCATGAAACAACCAGAAGTTTCTGAAAGATTTACTCAACTCTTTCCGTTTCCCAAACATAACTACTTTCCTGCCACAAACAGAACTATTGTAATAATACACCTATCTACAATACAAATTAATTCAATCTTATCAAAAGGACAGGATTTACAAAGTGACTCCAATTCTTATCTCAAGGGAATATCAGAAAATTTACACTTAACTGAGCTCAGCTTCACTCACTAAATAAAGCCTCAACTTTTCCACATTATATAAAAGTTCTAATATGGCTACTTAGCCTAAAGTTTACCTTTCTTTATTAATTTTAGTGGTATTAGATACACAATTCACACTCTTCCATACTTGTTGAAAAAACAGTCATTCCAACCAAAAAAAGGGGAGGGGGAGGCAGGGGAATAGTATTACAAAAAGACCCAAACAACAAACAGGTATATTTTCTTTATACTGCTATGCAACATTCTGCAAAGGAAGTTTGACTTCTGTTCATCTCTTTTTCTCCAAGTTTTCTCACTCACTGCTGTTGCTCTATTACTGCAAGATCTAAGAGTCACAGGTTATCTATTTTCTCCAACAAGGGAGCTGTGTCTGAATCATTCCTGTAACGAAACCAGTTCGGCAGCTAGTCTCCTGTTAAGTAAGAATTACAACAGTCATCTAAAAGGTGGCAGAACTGCTGCCATCTCTCTTCAGAACTGTTCTAAAGCTCATCCCTGGCATGTACGAGCCCCAATCATCTAAGATTGAGTCACAGCAACTCCTAGGCTCTAAATAAAGACTCCTATTTCCTCCCCAACCAACCAACCAAATAAAAGTTTAAGTTTTCTTAAACTCATCTTTCCACGCAAGTTATTTTTTAGTAAACACCATATTACAAACTCCCAGGGTAATTTCCCTCCTGGACACCCATTCCCTGAGCCTGGAATAAACTATGTTCCTGCAATCCCTTCTCCTCAAGTGCGAAACATCCTCAAAACGTAGCTCCTCTTTTTCAAGGTAGTTAGCTTTATGCTAACTGCAAATCCATTTTATCTCCTTGCTCAAGACATCTGGCTCCGGAAAAGCTGGGGCCTCTAACTCCTTAGCTTAATAAACACTGTGGACCACTGTGGACACACTGGCTCTGTCCCTCCCCAGAAAGGACCAGTGAGCGCTGCCATCAGCTGGATCTCGGCCCCGGGGGTGGGGGAGGGGGACGAGGGAAAACAAATTAACTGATGAAGAGGGCGATTTAGAGAACTAGAGGAACTAAGTCGCCCACAGAACTCAGGAAGACGCCCACACCGGTCTCCCGCTTTTCACATAATGGGACTCTTCGTCCCAAGTGGCAACTTGAGGAAGGTTCAAATCTTACCTCTCTCACAGAGCTAAAAGACTCACCAAATACCACCTTTCGGGGAAAGTGTCAGGCTGGCGTGAACCCTTCAGTTGCCCGCACAAAGCGAACCCTAGAGAAACCCCCACCTCAAACGCTTTAAAAATCTAACACACCCAATTTAACCCTTTCCAAGCCGCAGCCGCGGGGAGGGCACGGCCTTTAGAAGACGAAGGCTAAATTGAATTAACCCTTCAGCTGCCGGTCTCAGCGCTACAGCTCTGACGCCACAACGTGGGAAATTCCTAATGCTAACCCGTGGGGAGGTGACACACCGGGCTTAGCTCCCCCCGCCCGCCTTGCTCCGCGGCGCAGAGGTGAGCCCAACCCGCGGCCTTCGAGGAGGCGCCGGGCTGGGCTCACGGGTGGCGGCGTCCCAGGCGGGCAAGCCAGCAGGCGCTCACCGCGATGACATTGACGAAGGTGGTCTTGCCCGAGTACTGCAGCCCCACGAGCGTCAGCTCCATCTCCTCCTTCCAGAAGAGCGAGCGGAACCAGTCCAGCAGGCGGGAGATGAGCGCCAGCATGATGGCGGCCGGGAGGGAAGACGGACAGATGGGCGGGTGGGCGGCGGCAGCGGCGGCGGCTTCCACACGAGCGGGCCACGGCCCGGACCCCCCAACGGCTGCTTGGGGCCCCGGCACGACGCAAGCGGACACTGGCGGGCGGCGGAGGCCGGAGCCAGGAAGCCGAGCGAGTCATATGACTCGTCCTCCCCCACGGCCGTCCCCGCGCCGCCGCCGGCTTTCACGGCAAGAGAGTGGCGTGACCCGCCAACCAGGCGCGCCCGCCACCTGCAACGCCACCTGGTGGAACTTTCCTGCAGCACATCACACCAACGGGCCACCCTTCGGCTCCCTTTCTACCATCCCTCGTTTGCTCATTTATTGTTGGTTCATTCAACCTTCGTTCACACATTCATTCATTCTACAATTGTTCATTGAACTTCTACACTGTGCAGGAAGACTTTAAGATTTGGGGAATTTAGCACAAAATAAAAATCCTTGTCTTATACAACCAGTGGTCTCTTCCCATCAAGAGTAAAGGAGAGTGAAGAAAACCAAAGGACTCAAGGCAGAAATTAGTCGAAAGGACTAACAGACCCCATGCACCACAGCATAAACGACCCCACTCCAAGACCAAAAGACCTAGATGGTGCCTGGCTACCACTAGCAGCCACTCTGACCGAGATCACCATAGAGGGTCCAGGACAGAGCTGGAGAAAAATGTAGAAGAAACAATCAAATTCATAAAAAAGACCAGACTTACTGGCCTGATAGATACTGGAGGAACCCCCGAGACTATGGCCCTAAGTCACCCCTCTGACTTGAAACTGCAGCCATTCCCAGAAATCACCTTCCAGCCAAGCAATAGACAGGCCCATAAAATACAATTAACACCCGAAAAGAACGTGCTCCATAGAACAAACAATTATACGAGACCAAAAGGGCAACATTTGCCCAAAAGTAAAGATGAGAAGGCAGGAAGGGGTAGGAAAACCAGAGGAAAGGAAACAGGGAACCCAGGGCGGAAGTGGAGAGAGTATTGACACAGTGTGGGGATTGTAACCAATGTCAGGGAACACTGTGTATAATTTGTTGAACAGGAAACAATTTGCTCTGTAAACTTTCACCTAAAACACAATTGTATATACATATATATATACATATATATATATATATATATATATATATATATATGAGAGAGGCCACTATATGGTCTATAAAACTTTATTAAAATTGGGATTACTTACAAACTGTATATTAAAAATGAGAAAAAAACAAAAACAAAACCCCTGTCCTGAATTGTTGTTAATAGCAAAAGATGGGAAACCACAAGTGTTTATCAGTGAAGAGCTGATTAAATAAACTATGGTATATCCCAAAATGGAATACTACATAGCTGTAAAAAAAAAAAAAAAGTTTTCTATGGACTTATATGGAATGATATCCAGGAAATATTTTCAAGAAACAAAAAGCAAAATGCAGACTATGTATATAATATGATACTTTTAGTGTAACATGGGAAAGTAAGAATATATATAGATATATATTCAAGGAGCCTTGGTGGTTAAGCGCTCAGCTGCTAACCGAAAGGTTGTCAGTTCCAACCCACCCCCTCAGGAAAGACCTGACAATCTTCTTCTGTAAAGATTACAGCCAAGAAAACCCTATGGGGCAGTTCTACTCTGTCACATAGAGTCGCTATGAGTCAAAATTGATTCAACAGCACCTAACAAAAACAACATATATATATTCATATGTTTTTATATATATAAGTATACACATATATTCACATATATGTGTTTGTACTTGCATAAATAAGTGCTAGAAGGATAAACAAAAGACTAAAGAAAATAGTTTCCTATGGGAATGGGTGAACCAGACGGGCAGAGGACAGGAATAGAAATGAGACTTCTCTGGACACTGTTTTATACCATTTTGATTTTTCAATCATGTAAATCAGATGCCTGTTCAAAATTTTAATTTAATGAAAAAGTAAATAAGAATATCTTCAGGACTTTCAAATTAAAATCCCTGCCCTCATGGAGCTTGCATTGTAGTGGGGAAGACGTATAATATAGTAACTCAATAAATATAAGCTCTAACACCAGGTAGTAATGAGTATTCTAAGGGAAACTGAACAGGATAAGGAGAGAGAGCAAAGGCGCAGACCCTGTACCAGTTATGGTCAGAGTAAACCCCTTGGAGAAGGTGGCCCTGGATGTGGAGACCTGGACGAGCTGAGAAAGAGAGATAGGCACACATGTGGTGGAAGGGCAAAGACCTGAAGGCAGAAGAAGCATGGAGTATTCTCGAAACAGAAAGTCAGTCAGTGTGGCTGGCACAGATTAGTAAAGCAGGGAGTGGGAAGAGATGAGGATGGAGAAAAAGGCAGGGACCCAATAAAGCAGGGCATGGTGGCCCTAGTTTGGATTTCACTCATGGTGATGGGAAGCCAGGAGAGTGATCTAATTTATATTTTGGAAAGTTCACTTTGGAGGCTCTGTGGTGAATTGACCGTAGAAGGGCAAGAGCAGAAGCAGTGATCAGAAAGCTAATACATTAGCTTAAGGGAGTGATGGCGGCTGGCTGCTGGGGCCACCACTAGTAGGCACTTAGGTGTCTGCCGTCACAGTCAGACAAGTAAACAGACAAAAAAGTAAAAAAATAAGTTCATTTCAAAATAAGGAATTGGACGTTCCTCAGCCTTTACAATCATTGTAATTACCTTCGCTGCTAAAATGCTTAGTTAATGGAAAAGCCATCCTCTCCTCCTAATTCTAGTTTCCCACTTAAAAAACAAACAAACAAAAAAACTTCATATTTTTTATCACAAAAGCACAATATACTGTTATTATAAAATCAAACAATACAGAGGTGTAATAAGGAAAAGATAATAAACTACTCCTTGTACTCTCAATCCCCCATTTCTGAAGTAACCAATTTTAACAGTTGACTCTTTTTGATCAAGTAAACACTTATACATGTATATGGGGTGGGGACTTTTATACAGAAAAATGGGAACATGTTGTAGATATTTCTCTGTAGCTTCCTTTGTTCACTTGACTTATAGTTAAATATATTTTATTAGAAAATAAAGGTGATAAATATTCAAAACTGTTTACTTTCTAATTATTTTATTATTATCTATGCTCTTAAATCTATTTACCTGTATTATAACTGTATGATTGTCATGGATTGAATTGTGTTCCCATAAAATATGTGTTGAATTTCTGGCCCTGGTACCTGTGGGTGTGACCCTGTTTGGAATTAGGGTTTTTCTTTTGTTACATTAATGAGATTGTGCCAGGGTAGGGTGGGTCCTAAACCTAATTACTTCTAATCTGTGTCTTTTAAAAAGGACAGAATAGACACAAAGACACACACAAACACAGAAAGGAGATAGACATCATGGGAGGATTATTTACAAGCAAAGGAACACCAAGGATTGCTACCAGACACCAGAAACTAGGAGAGAGGCTCACAGAAGGAATTGACACTGCTGAGGCCCTGATTTGGACTTTAAGCTACCAGAACTGTGAGAAAATAAATTTCTGTCTTTTAAAGCCACCCACTTGTGATATATTTTGTTCATGGCAGCACTAGGTAACTAAGACAATGGTGTAAATGCTATATAATGAAGAGTTATTAAGCATCTCTTCCCAATTCTGTGTTCAGTGATATCATGTTGTGATTTGAAACTGGCCACAGTGTAAGTATTTACACTACGGAAATTGGCAAACACTATAAGTCAGGGCTCCCCAGAGAACTGTTTGTTAGACGTTTACCAGCACACCATTGATAATATCTAGTTCATTACGTTAAAACGAGGATTAAATAAAATAATGTTAAATTAGATTAATTAAGGTAAGGAAAAGCAGAATGGTATAGTTACTGAATACAGGCTACATAGTTAGATTTACTGATTCTAATACCAGCTTCTCTACCTACCAGCTATGTGGACTGTTTAACTTGCTTAACCTCTCTCTGCTTCCAGTTCCTGAAAAGGGCGATAACATTCTTATCTGCCTCATAGCGTTATTGTGAGGAGTAAATGAACGAGTCCACATACAACTCTTATGTTAGTGCCTGGCACAGCATTAACACATGGAGCCCTGGTGGCACAGTGCTTAAAAGCTTGGCTGCTAACCAAAAGGTTAGTAGTTTGAATCCACCAGCTTCTCCTTGGAAACCCTATGTGGCATTTCTACTGGGTCCTATCGACTTGATGGGTTGGGTATTTTTAAATGCTAGTTGCTATTTCTGGAACATAGTGACTCTGGACAATTGGTTAACAATTCAGATGCTCAGTTTCTCGTTTGTAAAATAAGAGTGAGGAGATCAGTTTTATTTGATGTTTTAACTGATAAGGCATTTTCTGCTGAAGTCAGTTCAATAGTGTACAAAGTCCTATAGGTGCACTATTCCCTTTGAACTCTGTCTAGAATTAAGTTAAAAGACCCAGGATCACATGCTCAAACACATGGACCATTCACATGTCATATATAGAGGTTAGGGCTCTGGAAAGGTGGATGGCGAAGACAGGGTCAAGAGATAAGACTGACCCATGTATTTGCTGTGTGGCTGTTTATATAAGAAAGGTAACGTTCTATGGCATCAGAGCTGGACAGATCTTTGAAGAACATTGTCGTTTCACCTATGGGAAAATGGATTCACAGAGGGAGAGAGTATCATAGGGACATGATTGAAAATTGTAATCTCCTTGAGAACGGGAACCATTTCTACTTAACTCAATAAAGTCATTTTGAATAAATGAGTCATTCAGCTTGGGGACCTGGAAATCTGGTCTCTCAGGCATCTGTTTTGTTAGCTTTACACTTGTCTAAGGTGATAATAGTTTGGACCAAAGAATAAAATTTGTGTGACACCTTCCATATGTTCCCACTGGCCTGATTATCAGCCTAATAGCATCTTAAAATGACAGCACATGGGCCTTATCCACAGGACATTTCTGTACTTGGCCAAGTCAGGCAAAGCGCCAGAATTTCTCATTAGCCATGGATGTCACTGCAGGTCACATAGACAGCCTTCCAAAATCTGCAGAGGGGCAGAATGATAACTCTGCCTTTTAAAGGGAGAGTGTGGACCTTCAGGAAAAGAGAAGCAAGAACCAGTTAGGGAGGTTTTCTCTTTAGAAGGAACACTCCACATTATTCTAAAACTGAGCTAGTCAACCCC